AAGCAGATTGGTAATTCCAAACATTTGAAATTAAAATTATACCTAAACCAGGAAATTTTAGGGTCTACAAGAATTATTTACCTATCACCTAATACGTTATAGGCATCACTACACAGGTCACCTGACTTTATGTCTACGGAACCACAGGTAAAGGTTTACCCGCGGCGGTGGTCGTGACAGACAGGCGGGCGAGCTAACGAGGTGCGCCACCGCGAGACGTGGCGAGTGGTGACGTGTGAAACGCTCACACGTCTCGTATGCTGTGGGCTGTAGACAGCAGGTCAAGATATACCAATTAGACTTTGTTTAATTCATTTTTAAATATAATAAGTCTCCATATTTGCTCTGTATGCCACACGGGGTCAGTCGTGTAGCCTCGTGTAAGAACTGAAGCTGTATATACTTACTTATAGCTGTATGTAAGAGCTTAAGCTGTAGGTATGTAAGTACTTCCTCCACCCCATCGGTGAAGTTTTATTTCCATAAAATACATTTAAATAATATAAGGAAACGAAAAAATAAATATGTACAACTTAACATACACTAAAACTATTACTTAGAGAAAATTAAATAAAAGAATAGGAACTAAAAATTACTATTTACAGACAGCATCAAAAAATTCGTCTGTGAAGTATGTAGAGGTATGTAGGAGACCTAGAAGTGGTGTGACAAGGATGATTTCTTCTCACACAATACATTGTAATACCTAAATATTAGGTAGCGGGAGCCTATCATCTATCATAGCTCTCCTCGGTCTTTTTTTAATATATTAGAATAGATTCCAGTAGAAGCTTTCCATTTAGTGCCTTGTTTATTGAGTGGTTAGAGTTGATCAGGAGTTCTTCGGTCCAATTCCTGGGTCCGGCAAGGTGTGTACTATTGAGCTTCTTTGCGCTATTTTTTTGTAGTAAGTAGCAAGCGGACTCGAACTGTGGCCAGGTTAATTACCAACAAAATGAAAGTGCATAAATAGAAAGATTTTCTTATAGGCAAGGTTTACTTACCTTGGTATATGTAAATCTCTACATAACTCAAACAGTAAACAATGACAGCACCTACCTCATATGCTAGCTAGCTCACCCCAAACCTCCCCTAAGGTTTGGCAAATACAAAATTAATTTGAAGCCATTTACCTTCGCTCAGAATCCTCGGTACCTCTACCCCACTCCACCATATACGTAGATAGGTTGTTGCCAACTTATAAGTATAATTCTAGGTGTTACAGGGTACATACTTACATTGTAAACAAGACTTATGAACTAAAAATTTATGATTAACAGTGTTTTAGGCTTAAGATGAGTATTTATTATAGTAGGCAAAAATAGGTAAATAATAAGATGTAAACTAAATAATGTTCTAAGTCCCAAGTACCCACATAGGTACTAAACCTTAGTTCATATTTATTACAATGTCAAATTGTCTTAATTACAAGTACTTCCTTTTATTAGAATATATTCCCATTTCCCAAATGATTCCGTTTCAGCGTGTGATATTCGAATAAAAATAAAGCAACGAGTGTCCTCGTCAAAATACTAGGTTCTCTAATAAATTCATTACAACGCACGCCCGTGCTCTATCGATTGTGGCCTCTTTGCCCGAACGTGCCAGAGACAATCGACGCGATGGCGCTTCTCTACGCAGTCGTAGACAGCTATAAACGACACAGAAAATAACCATTATCCAAGCAACATTATGTTATTTGCACCCGTAATAAAGCTCAGATTCGTTCGCAATATAAAAGAGAAAGGGCGTTCCAAATTCAAGGTATCCGAAAAATAAATGTTCAGGTCAATGTTAAGACCTTATTCCCAATTTCAGCTTTACGTGCCCATCCAAAGAGTTGGTATTTGCACTGTAATCGAGGGTGGGTATAAAACCTTTTTGTTGGGAAACTGCGCGCTCTTTGTCTCTGACTCACTGTCAAGCGTCCTTGTGTTTTCCCGCGTTTTTTGTTCTAATTAGTCAGGCCCGGCTCTCGACCTCCGCTGCGCTCCTGCCACCAACGAAACCGTCGCCAATGTTTTGTGGAAATATAACAAAAAGTTCACGTGCCACACTCCGCACAGGAAAATTATTAAGTACATTATTCTATGGAAATGTAAATCAGTGCTATTTGGTGCTTCCAAAATGTTATTTATGAGTACAAACAGTGAACTGTACTGTACTGTGTGAACTGTATTTACGTATATACCTTAGTAAGTATCTACTTTGTCCACGTTTCTTTGTATAGTAACTTACTAAAATAAGGTAGATCTAGATACCTACTCAGCTCAGACTGATTCCCTTTACATTTGAAGCACATAACCACAAAATAAAATACATGAACGCAATAATTACAGCTATTACAGAAGCCCTCCCCATGCATTTAAAGTAAGACGGCGTTCTTAACCCTATGAATGGGGAATCTTAAGGCGTAATGGTGTCTCACCCCTCCCGTATTCATGGGGCACCATAAATACGAATAATATTCACAAATTTGTTTACAGATCGCGTACCCACGCACAATGCGAGGAAACTCCGCGGGGGAAGAATGGGGAAGCCTTGGCTTGTTTTCGTTGCGGATTTTTTTTTCGCATGAATTTTCTTTTTTATGTTTTTGTAGATACTTAGATTTATATCCATAGAGGCTGGAGGGGTCCGGAGCGAAGCAGTGTAAGCAAAGATTGGGGAGTTTTCAGTTCTCATTGGTTTTATCATGCAATTATATTTTGGCGACAGAGAAGGTCTAATTATTCGGTGCTTAGAAAGTTATTGTTTAAAGCCTCCTAGACTACTAGGATAGATACTAATCTATTTTATCAGTTTCTTTAACTTACCTCTATATGCACCCAGTCCATACAGTATAACCATTATTCAACAAGTAACAGTTATTAAAAAAAAAGGTAGAGTGGTTACCATTGTCATCTTTGCATTTGTCCGGCTTCACGGCTTGTGTAATGTGATTTTGATATTAGTGAATTTAATTGTTGTCCCGTCTCATTGTTCAATTTGCAAGTGTGACTACAGAGCATGAAGTCGTGTTCAATGCTCGGGTCGTGTTAAATAAATTAAATAAATAATAAAGTAAAGTAAGTATAAAAAGTAAAGACTGCCTGGTTGGCCGAGTGGTCGCAAGTGCGATTGCCGGGCAAGGGGTCTCGGGTTCGATTCCCGGGTCGGGCAAAGTATTACTGGGTTTTTACAAAATTCTGAATATTACCACGGAGTCTGGAATTGTGCCCGGTATATGGCAATAGGCTCACCCCCTATTACATGGGACTCATAACATAAATAGTGAAATGTGGGTGTTACATTGTACAGTGGCATAATGTGCACCTATGCCTGCCCCTTCGGGGATGAAAGGCGTGATGTTATGTAAATAATAAAGTATTCGTCTAATTTTTGTCATTCTCAGTAGTTACCTAATAAATATTTGTTACTCATTTCCATCTACTAAAATAATACCCAAATCTAATTGAGCATTGAATAATCAAATCATCCATTTTTAATTTCCAATGGGGAATTAAAATCTTAAATTTGACGTCACGTTTCTACACCTCCAGTTCTCCTCTAAATTTTCTATTTAACCCTTCACAATAAATATGAATCTCCCGCATTTGAATGCTAAGCCCATGCTTGCCGGAGTTAGGACAAAAGCTCACGACACACGTGCCCTATCTGACGATCGATGCAGCTCCTCTGTCGTGGGTTCCTGACGGCTTTCTTATCACATGCTCCATCCGACGGGTAAATAAAACTTTGTAAAGTGTATTTGGCATCGATGCCAAATACACAAAAAATATTTGATAGCATAGAAACTCAGAAGGAGTTAAAGTTTAATTCTCATTATATTCTATAAACTAGATAGGTGCCATCTTATTGCTGGAATCAAATCTATTCAATAAAGAATCTTAGCAATCTTCTGAAGTCGCACTCTTGTTAAAAATAGTCATAAAACATAGAAGTGTTTCTATTGCGAATATTTGAAGTTATAAAGCGCTTCAAGAATGTCGATTGCGCTCGTCACCTGAGATACAAATCCTGCAATATACTCAGTAATCTGTTCGAGAGGCCAATAGTTTTCAATTTCGCCCCCTCACCTGTCCGCCAGTACGTTTGACATAATCCAGCGTTTTATTAGCGAGACCCGTAACGACTCGCACGTGTGCACTACGTCGCCTTTGTTCTATCAAAATTACACCCCAACATCCAAACGCCACACATCCCCAACCATTTCATACGAGAAAGCACCCTATGGAAATATTCACACGGTTTAAATTTCAGATTTATTGGGTATCCTTTGTACTCTTTCGATGGCGCGAACGGCCATGTTATTATTTCGTTTTGGCGGGCCGTGACTGACGTTCAAAGTCGGTGTTGCCATGCGGAATAAACTGTAATACGAGTTATGAAAGATTATAGCGTAATCTGGGAATATTGAAGACAATAAGAATGAGCTTACCTTCGTTTAGAATAGGGGTGATATAAGCGTTTGTTACTTTTATTGTTTGAGGGGTGTGCTTGACTTAGATTGCCGTGTTTTTGTTTTGTTAAACGTTGATATTAAATGTTTTTGAGGTATAAAAGAACAATGTCCTTATCAATCACAATACTATTTAAGTATAGTTTACGATGGATTTTTTTTATTTTTAGTGTCATGTTAACATCTAAGTATATCCAGGAAAATAAAATAATTTTCCGGTTTAATGGTAGGTATAAAAACCTATGTAGACGAAACACCAAGCCCATTAAATGGTTTCTAGATGATTTCACTTTTTGTATTTCCTCACCTATCTACATAAAAGTACTCACATAGACAAAAAATACTATCCCTTTGTATGCAAATTTCTGAAACTCGATGTAAGCATTTTCTCTTTGAAGCGAGTACTTGAGTCACAAGTGTTCTACCTAGATATAAATGTCAGTTCTTCGAAGACTTGACCCCATCATTTTGAGGTCCACTTGAGGATCAAAGGGGCTCCAGAAAGATGTCGAATGAAAGACCAAATAAAACTCATTAATTTTATTAATTTTATAAATCGAAATTCATTACACCTTCCTTCTTCATTATAGTTACAAATTCCTTCTCATTAATACTATTATTTATAATTATCGTAATTAATTATTAACTCCCCCTAAACCTACAAATTATACATCGACCTAATTTCTCAGAACATATAAATTAAGTTGAAAAACGTTAATTACAACTCCATTTTGTTACAACTGACGAATTATTCTAATTTTTAATAAATTCTTATTGCTATTATTTGACATCGGACATTACGTGGGGAAAACCGCCATCTTGTCACGATGTTGCCAATGTTTCAATAAAAATCTTCACTAATTTTAAAATTAATATTTACATTGCAGCAATTCGCAGATTTAAATTAATAAAAATTGACTTAAGTACATATTGAGGGAATAAGTAATGTGTTTCTTGTGTGATAAATAAACAGAACTCTGATTAAATGTTAAAAAAAAATATCGAATAAAAAAAAAAGCATGGAATGCAATAAAGAAATAAACTCACAATATTACTTGAATGCGATAGAAAACATTTGTGTTTATTACTATAAATTCGTTGTTTAATAGTGTTCTTGTAGGTAATAAAAGTGGTTACAACTATAATCAAGATCAATTTAAATATTTTAACTTGGCTGGGTATTATCTAGGTACTTATTTGTTCATTGAAAACTAAAAAGCGAAAACCAATACGTAAAAATTAAATCAATAGTTTTTGAAATTATCATCCATCAGCCAAGTTTAAACCGAAATTAAATTGCACAAGGGATGCCTCCCGAATTCGCTCATCGATAGCTAGGAGCGGTCACAACTATATACATAAGATAGTATCTACACACGCAAACACTGACTCTTTTTAAATTAGTTTCTATTCACACAACAATTAGCTACTTCTTTATCAGTTATTTACAGTAATGTACCTACAAGAGACGATGACAGTTTCACCACCACATAAGTATAAAAAGATTCATTAAATACAAGTAATTATTGCTATAGACATTAGGTTCATTTTCTTATAAAACCTTTTCAAAGTGTGTTTTGGCTGTAGGCAATGCTATCCGCAGGTTGGAAGGTGATGAAACATCTCGTCAAAGTCATTACATTAATTAAGCAAAAAACAAATGAATGTGCTGTTGTCAAACAAAACGAAGACATTATTGGAAGTTTGGCACTCTTATTTTAAAACCTGAACAAAAAATATTTATACTCTGTTTATCGTAATTGTAAGTCCAACACCAAAACTAACACAAGGTCGTCTTCTCCTGTTAACGTGCGATTATTGCGAAAAAACATTTTTCATTCAGGTTCTCATGTCAGTAAAAAAATATCACAAAGAATCAATTCAAATCCTCACGTGTGCTTAACTAAAGCTATTGCTAATTATGTACACGTTACCCTCCTCCCGTTGTGCGGTAGTTACCGACTATGTCCACGTTTCACATCAACACTTTCGAAATTTCACTATTTTTCTAATCAATGTTCTTTTTTGTAGCTCTAGCCACGTCGCTTCATCCGAGACAGTGTTCTTAGAGGAGACATAACAAACGAGACATGATATACTTTACATACCACTTTAAAAAGTAAACGTATGTATTTAGTGTTGGTTCCTATATGTATAACAAAATCAATACACATCGAACAGTTTGCAATCAACAAAATAACCTAAACGAATTGACACAATTATTCTTTGTATTTACCCCGATTTCTGGGAGAATATTTCACTCACTGCAACACTAAATAAGAATGCAACGACAAGGAAATCATTGAGTCTACAAAAACTAAGAAAACAATTGAGTTTAATCGAAATACATCTCTTCCTTGAACATTGTCTCATGATAAAGCTGTGGGAACTTCTACCAGGCTCGGCCCTGTAGCGGCAGGTACCCAGAGCACTGTTGCTGGTAGGCCGCGGGCTGGCGGTATGACGACACGAGCGGGTTGCTGCACGCCGCCTGCGAGGGCTGCGGGGCAGAGTACCCGGACGTCGGAGTGGCGCAGTGGCTGTGCGCTGGTGATGATGACTCCCCAGAGCCACAAGGTTTCCCGTCCTTCACCAGGACGGGAACTGCCACTCGTCGGGGCGATGATGATGACTGTTGAAGAAATTACATTAGTTTCTATTCTAAACTATGATTATACAACAGCGCCCTCATAAAACTACAATTAATTAAATAAATCATTATAACGAAAATTACATGAAAGCCAGCAAGTCATTAGTGGGCGGGCGGCGCCCAGTGAACAATGAAATGTTGGAGCTACCCGCCTGCCGCCCCCGCCGAGCAAATTGAGCCAATGTTCCACGCACGGGGCAGGGTCACTGTACTAGCTGGGAGCTAGCGCAGTGAAACAAGATCAACATTATTCATGAAACTAGGGACTTTTGAAAACGTTTTATGCTGGCTACGTTTGTAACCTATACTGAATTTTCAATTTAGCTAATTTAGCAGTACAATAGAGTACAAAGTAGTGTACGTTGCTGTAATCACAATTATATTATTTAATCTTTATTACTCCTTGACCAATAAGTTCCACGAACAACAGGCGGGAAGATAACATCAATCTAGGTTACCGTTCCACGTTGAGGTAGCCCTATTTTCCCGCGAAATTCTAATTGTCACAGGGTTGCCAGATTTGGGAAGTGCGGGTCCCGTATTTTGTTACCCATTGAGGAGCGCAGCGGGAGATTGCTATCGAGTGGGCAAAGTCTATCGCCTTGGCAAACAGGGGAGCAGCCCCAAGGCACCACGTCAGCGGACGATTATTATCGCTTACACGTTAATATTCATTATTCATTAGCATTGTGTAAAATTTTATGAATTAATAATGTCACGTCGCCGCCGCTTGATCAGGTTGGGATTTTTTGAGATTAAATTGTTGAGGGGTTGATTTTTAAACACAAGATACAAGATTGATATTTGCACGTATGCAGATTTTTTGACATGAAATGCAGATTTCTTTGACACTAAATGTTATAACAACGATCTTTAGGTATTTTTTTTTTTTTTTTTTAAGGGGGGAAAATCATCGAATGACTGCCCCCGTCTGGGTGAGGCGGGAGGGAGTGTCAGACTCTTACTGACTAAAAACCACCCCGTTCCTTCTCCTGCACGTCGAGCCGGAGCCCCGGTTACCCGTTAGGTTCTCCGCGACATCTTTAGGTATAGTATTCAGGTACACTATATATTAGTTTTTTTTTGTATTAAAATTATATATTTCGTTGCTGTGCCCGACAGGGTCTACAATGATCTGTGTTATTCTATGTTAACACCTCAGTAAAACATTGTGGAACGCAATAAAGAATTTGAATTTGAATTAGGTTGTGATAATTTCTTGTGACTGACCTGATTGTGTTGATTTTGTTCCGCCATCGCCTTCTCCTTGGCTTGCCTCTTACATTTGTACCGGTGATTTTGAAACCATATTTTGACCTGAAACAAATTACTTCATTGTAAAACTATCACTTATCTATTACGCCCTTAGAGGGCGTTAAATTAAAGTTTCTATCGAAATAAAATCAGGCAATCTTATTCTTGGTTGTTCCCATCAGTACTGACAATTATTTTTTAATTTTATCAAGTTCATTCAATTCACGCGTAATCAATCTTCAATTGTTTGTCCATCTTTTTTTATTAAGTTCATTTTTTCAGATCTCGAGTCTTATTAATTTGGAAAAAGTAAAATGCCAAAAAAACCCAGAGTCGACTAAAATCGTTCATGGACACTGTAATAGACCATAAGTAAGGGGTCACAAATACGCTATTCGTTTTGGCCATAAGTAACCATAACCGAACGCCAGCAGCCTGCAGAATATTACAATTTTGTATGGGCCCGTAAATAATTGTCATTTCTTTTTGTTCTATGTTTGTCCCTACACAAATGAAAGCGATACAGATAATAATTACATTTACTAGAATTACAAGCAAACTTCTGATATATTAGTTTTTTCATTACTTGCCGATGGTTTCATCGAAAACAATAATTGAATTTGGTTTATACTATGTATTTAGATGTACCTTGCCACATATAATTATATTAATCGATCCTGGGTTTTGTTCCATACATTTTTGGTTTCCATTGTCCTTTCCATAGCATAACATCACGCCTTTTATCCCTGAAGTGGTAGGCAGACGTGCACACTACGGCACTTAATGCTACTATACACTGTAACATCCACTTTTCACTATTTATGTTATGAGTCCCATGTAGTAGGTGGTGAACCTATTGCCATATACCGGGTACAATTCCAGACTCCGTGCTACTACTGAGATCTTTTTGAAAAAAACCCAGTAATATTTTGCCCGACGCGGGAATCGAACCCCTTACCCGGCAGTCGGCCAACGAGGCAGTTCTTTCCATTGCAAATAAATAGTTGTGAATTTGATTCCATTCCGTATTTACTACTAACATTAGGAAATATAAAAATGGCGGCTTGGTGTCATTGTTAAGAGCAACGCGAATTGATTAGCCTAGTGTGATATCTGCGTTTAATGGCTGGATCGTAGTGGGGAGAAATCGTAAAACTTGCCATTAAAACGAGTAACCCTCTACCATGAGAATGTAGCTGTTACAAAATATATTATACTTAGTCAATAACCAGATACCAGTAGTAGAGGAAAAGATAAGGAAGGTATATATTGTAACTCAGATTACAGCGAATAATATGATATTTATGTATTCGTCATGTGAGTGAGGTTACCGGAGGGCCAATCTCTCCAGTCCCTGAATCCCTAATAATCCTCAAAATCCTAATCCCCAAAAGGCCGGTAACGCACTTGTGACGCTCTTGGCGTTTCAGGTGTCCATGGGCGACGCCGATTACTTACTCACCATCAGGTGATCCGTCTGCTATTTACGTAATATGCCGTAAAAAATGATATTTCAGAAAAAATTGAACGCCAATATTTTTAAAAGTTAGTAAGCACCTTAAAAAAATCAATATCATGTTATTATCATGTTAAATGAATTTCTTAGCGACAAATGTATTTGAGGAAGGGTCAAGGAAGATATTTAAATTGTAACACATAATAATATTATACCTAAAAACTATTCTCTTGGTCTCTTTTGATGACTTAATAACCGACTTCATTTGTAAATTGTTATTGACTTTATTATTTTAATTTGACATTTACTATCTAGATTCATTCATTGCATAATTAATATTTGTACACCAGTCATGTTTGAACATGTTGATACAATCAGTAAGTAGGTACTGTGCCATCTATAGTAAACATAATTTTTTGTTTGTATTGTGTAACCTGCACATGTTTTGGCAAATGAAATGGTCTTTATCTTTATCTTCAGATTGATTAAATACCTATCTTCAAACAAAGTTTCAAATATTCAGTAGTTGCTAGTGATTTTCTCTTTGCTTTAAACAAGTCTAAGTCTTGGTTGCCACGCATCTAAAACAATGCTCCCCAATCTCAGTAAACTGACATGCTCACGTATCCATTGAAAGTTACTGCGACTGATGAAACGATAGCAATTAATGCGCTAATCCCATCGCAAACGCGTGACGAGTCAACAAGCGGAGTCAGTGCCTCCCTGAAATTAGCGCTAGGCCGAGCCTGGTCAACACTCCACCTTAATGACGAAAGAATAAACATGCGCTGTTTGCCCCACCGAGCGGCCAGCCTTTGTCTACGCACGCTCCCGACGCAGCGAAATATACACTTTATTTATTATTTATACATCGAGAGCGTTTCCTCGTGTTTATTCTTTGAAATGGATGTGTACTCCCCCGTACCAAGATCTCCTCCTGCTACGATACCAAACATTACCTTGTGCGCGCCAATTCATCGTTCACACATCCGTTATAAAAACAAATCGTTACATCGTTACTAAATACTGGCCACTAGACTCACTAGACAGCTTGACAGCGTTTTCTTTTTTTTCGTTTGCTCTGTGGTGCTTCGTTGTGGGAACGTTGTCAGCATTGACGCGCGCTTTGTGCTGCGTTCAGGAATGATGCTCGCTAGGTTATTTATGGAGGAGGTGAGAGTTAATGAACGGGCCCCGTCGGCGGGCGTCGCTTATTGCACTCCGCCGAGGCTTGGACGCTCTCGTGTGGAGTACTTTCTTTCAATCTCCTTGTGCATAATGCTCGGTGTTGGCTCGCACGCACTCTACGCCCGAGTGCGCCATTCACTTATTTGTTTTACATCTAAACGACTGTTGTTACTCGTCGAGTGATGAGACATTTCGGGTGTGTCCGAGGGCTTGCGTGCTTGAGTTTACACCCACTTAGCTGCCAAGCGTGATGTTTTTCTATTATGTTGTGCTAACTGTAGTCGGCTACCGGAATCCATCTTGGCATTTCCTTAATTGTATTGACTAACTCGATAATTATAGTAGTTTTACGATATTTGTGAAGACCTACGTGAGGATTTTGAGGCATAAAAAAATTACGTTCATTAAAATGATAAAGCGGCCACCCAGTCAGCTGTCATCGTTACAATACAAGTCAATTTTGGCGCCGAAGCCTTTCCTTCGTCAAGAAGTTGTGAGTTTCTGAATCGAAATCTAATACCTCATGGTATTAAGGTCGGAAATGGGTCGTAGAGTGTTTAGACATAGCACGGTATATAGTCCTCGCGTAGGTGTTCCGTTTCTCTGAACGATGACTCGGTATATCGAGCGACAATTATTATAAATAAAGATGCACTCGTGTTTGTTTAGCTCTTCATTTGCTGCAGTGATTTTTTCCAGCGATGAGTTTGACGTTTTAATATTCGAAGCGTTTACTAACAATGGCTGGTATTTGGGCTCAGTTTCGTGTGAGTTTGGAGAGGGCAAGTCTGAGATGGTAAGTAAATCAATTCTAAGGATTTTACAAGAATCGGTAGGAGTGCAAACATTTGGACATTTATGAGTTTGTGTGTTTTACGGTAATTGAGAATGGAGATGTGTAGAGGTTTAAAAGAATGGTAACTATCTCAAGTAGCCACAAGATGTAGAACAAAATTGGGTGAAGATATGATACGTAACGGAAAATAACACATTTCAATATCAGTAAACTAAAGTGCCGTTAGAATGATTAAATAAACGCTCCCATCGTCGATTCATTTAGAAACGTACGGCGTGTCACTGATTTGTCATTCCCGGCAGCTTTCACAATGGCTGATTGTCGCACATTATTGTATCAGAACCTCTGCATCGGACGCGAGGCGACGCGACGGCGCGCTGAGTAAACATCGGTCCGCGCCATGACAGCGCATCAATGAGCTTCATTTATTTAGTAACTTATAAAAATATTGAGCGAAAAAATCTCATCGTGCAACCACAAAATTGAGTTACAAACGATTTTCAATCTTATTCCAAAGAAAATTTAAAATTTTATCGGTACAGAGTAATTTGAGATGCAAAATAAATATGGCGGGTAAGTACGTGAGTGAATGTCGGTAACAAAATGTTGCGGACAGTGTTTTTTCAGGTGATTGTGATTCTTTTGATTTCTACGTGTATTGTATGGATAAGTAGATATTGTAAATCTTTCCAATTTTATATTACGAACAGTTTCTAACTTTATTTAAGTAGGTACTAATCGGATTTATTTTGCAGATCCTGATATAAAATGATTAAAATTGATAACATTTTTGGTCGGGCTGTGGATGCATCTAACGATTATGGAATATAGAGGACGATAGTTTCTCCTAATAAAATAGAGGCAAGAGGCATTAGTCGAAAACTCACTATCAGCCGTACCTAAAGCATGAAAAGGCAGAATGTCAAAACAATATTTAAGAACGATAAATATCTCTATATTCCGACATCCATGTTCCCTTAATCACATTCGGTTCTCGTATAACCCGAAATATAAGCAATTATATAAATGTAACTGGTAGTACATAGCAGTGAGTATCGTTTAATGTAGCCCCCGACCCCTGCCCGTGGACCGTGACTCGTACCGCCCGCCTCTGTTTACACACCAATCCACCAAATTAATATTTGTAAGTTGTATGCTTATTAAACTCGGTTTAAATGTTACTTGTCTATACGTTTGTTTTATTAAACAAATACACTTTGACGTCGAGGTTTTATAAACATTTCGTACATTAATATTTATTTATCTAGTTTATCGAGAGGTTAGAAGGTAGCCACAAATTGCAAACCAACTTTAACAAAAAAATCTTCAATCCAATTCACCGATCTATAATTTGCGAAATAATCACAAAAAGTATCCTAAGATCCTACGCAAACACCGCAATATTAACAATGGAACATTACAATTCAAATAATGGCAGTTACCTGTGCCACAAAGGGCTGTGTCAGGTGTATCATCCGCTTAAGATAGGTACTATTAATCCTTCACAATGCTTCGCAAAAAGTAGCCATTCATAAAATTTAATCTCGAATATATTGCTTTGTACTGGCAACCCGAGCGAAATGCCAGCTAATAATTTTCGCGGTTATTAAACTCGGGGAAACGAATCAAAAGTTTTTTGAAATTTGTTTTGACATGTTGGCCGCAACCGCTGCCTTTGATGCAGTGATCTTAAAGACCCGTCGGACCGCAGGTTTTTGGATAGAGAAACCTACGAACACGTCAATCAGACATATAACTACAATTCAGATAAAAAGTCTAAATTATCCATTAAAAAACTACGTTATGAAAACGCATACAAAGACCATTAAGAATTTACAAGCGGTTCCAGCTATTCAGTGCAACCATTGCGTTTAACTGGGCCAAATTTTAATAACCAAAAGCAGATGATTTTCGGCCGCTTGACAGGAAGCTTATTGAGATCCCACGCAGATTATGGATTAAAAAAACTTGGAGTGGGATTATTGGTAAATTATATGCTCTGAGGGATTCGCCGACGGGATTCAATCAGGTTACCTTAAATAATTATGATGTGAATGTAAATATTATTTTATTGAAGATATTTCGGCATTGGGGAAAATTTCTTTTGTGGTGTAACCGCACTGGCGATGGTGAAACGTTTTTTGTTACAATTTGATTTATTGTGTGGATAGACAGATTGCAGCTGATCGGCTGTTTAGATGACTTCATTTGTGAACAAAATATTTGGAATGGCATTATGAATAAGTATTCTCTTTTTCACTAACTGATCATTAATGCGTGTTTGTCCTCCGTGTGGGAAGAGACCTTGTCTGAGTAGTGGGACAATTACAAGTTGAAGATGATATTCCTAGTAAAGTTTTATTTATCAAGTGAACTCTCGGTGATACGAATAAGGATTACCTACTATAATTAAGATTGATACGGAACGAAGGTTTTTAAAGTCAGTGTTAATTTTATTTATTTAGACGTGTACGCCTCTAACGTTGCTGTAGCAAAGCAAGCTGACATCAGACTATTGATTGTGGATGGATGACGTCATTTCACAAATATATGGTCATTAATCCATCTTGAAATGGCAGAAAACGTTTCCAATTGAATCTCTGACATAGTATCAACAGTTGTCAGACACAAACATGATAATTTTTCCGGGGGCTACTTGACGAGGGCCAGTGAGCGAACATCGCTGACAGCTATTGTTTCATGAAGCACCATTATCTCATTGCTCTCATTATACGTGTCGGCCGCCCGCATGCGCGCATCCGCCGGAGACAAGACCATAGAGTTCGTGACCATAGACAATGCCTACACTCTTTTGTTTCCAACTTTTTTGGCATCTCTCACGCTTTTAATAACGGTGTTTGATATTTATATAGTTTTTTATACGTACTCTAATTTATTATGTCAGAGCCAAGAGGGGTGGGTGGTGCTTTTGACATTTCCTTGCGGTTATTATCTGTATCGATAGTGTTAGAAATTCATTACCTACCTAACTAGGTATTTTTATGGGATTAGAGAAAGATTTTTTCAAAAAAAAAAATCAAATGATGATCGCAAGATCTGTTATAGCCCCCGATACCTATTCAATTTAGATACAACTATCTGAAGTTAGACTTCATAAACTTAAAACCTTCATTCACTTGACCATCCAAAAACTGTCTCTACTCTGTCCTCTAACTTACGAACTCAGAACCAAAGCTACTGAGTTCCACGTACAGTGAACACAGAACAATAATTAAAATAGTCATTAGAGTTATAAAATTAGAGTTTGTTCAAGGGACGCGGGCGTAGCGCGCGAACATCGAAATTTACTTAAGTTCTACGAAAGCGCCCTCTGTTTACTCATCGCGAACGTCAAACAGTCGGGATATTGTGGCTGAGTCCGTCTTTATTGCCGTGTTTAAATGCTATGAATATGCAACGTTTTAACGTTTTGCCTTCTTCATTTTTGTTACTTTATTTAATCTGAATTCGAATTTTTGGAAACCTAAATTTGCATTAGGTAACATGTATATAGGTAAGGTTGGTTGGTTCACAATCACCTTAACAACTATATACTTAGTAGCCGAAGTATTGTATTTTTATCCGATGTATGGTAATAAGTAAGTACCTTCCGGACACTCAAATAACCGGATAGATTAAGTAATATGATTATTTATACCACCTCCATTCTAGGTTCGTCTTATACATAGTAGGTACTAAATAAGTAGGTACCAATTGTTTTTAATACTGCATTTTTACAATTAACTTAACAGACTTAAGTATTGCGATTGAAAAACTGTAACTAGTTAATGGATTCACAATAAGTAGGTACTTAGGATAAAAGATAAAAAAATGAACCACTTAAATCTATCAAATAAATCGGTAATGGTAATCAGAAAAATGGCGTAACTCAATACAGATAATGCAACGATTAATGCGTGAAGCACGCGCCGGCCGTGTGCCTGACAGCAGCCGGGGACGGCCGTGCTAACCGGACGGCGGACCGGTAGCTACAGATTTAACGCCGATAAAAACTACACTTAGCACTGCACAAGGAACACTTTAAAAGACAGTAAAAATTAGGGGAATTGCAATAAATTGATTTTGGCTAGGGAAAATGTCACTGCGTCACTTTAAATTTTTTGTAATGTATTTTACTGGTCTTTGAATGCAGAAACCAATGTGATTAAATGATATTTCAGCCCCTAGAACCTCCGAAGAAAAATGTATGTGGAAACTCCTTTTTCTGGGTTTGAAAATTATCCAATGACTTGTGAGGTGGTGAGGCGAGGAGTATTAAAGTTTTATTGACTAAAGACCACCCTGTTCATAGGAACAGGTTATTAGCCGGGCTTCGGCTAATACCATGAAGAACAGGAGTAGGAACATAGGTTCCTACTCCTGTTTCCTTCTTTGAGCCGAAGCCCGACGAAAACTCGTTAAGTCCTCCGCGACTCCGATATGGAAAGTCGAACGGTCTTTGCCCACCAGTGAAACTGCATAGATTACCTGCGCTTAAATCATAACCTAAGTCTAGCACAAGATCTTAACATTTCTTTTGTTCTTATGTTTTTAACTTTTGTACCTTCTTGGATATCTTTCACATTATGATTTATTTTTCACTTTTGTTTGTCAAACTCAAATAATCATAAACATAACATTCATATTTCACACATCCATGAAATATTTCACCAAATATTTGCGTAAAAAATGTCATCGCCATTATTAATATAACTGTCAACGGCACGCGCCCTATTTCCCACATTCGTTTACAAAATTCAAATCCTTTACAACAATGCGTCGATAATCTCTAGCCGTGTCGATATAAATTTCATAAACTCGGTGCGACCCCAACAATGGTTTTAGGTCCATGAATAATCTCCATTTTGACGGTGTCAACACCAGCCGTTTGGCGCCAAAACAAACGTCAAACGGGCACAATGGCGGCGCGCGTTAAGCCGAAGATAATGCGTTGTTATTATAATTGGGCCGCATAGTTGGTATTGTTGGACCGTGCAGGTTAATTACGTTGTTAATTGCAGCTACTTGCACGATTGTGCTTTAATTTTGAAGTGAAATGGAATGGACCATATATGCGTATGAGATAACTTTCCTGAGATAACCGGTAAGTAACGTCTGTACGTTACTTAGAAATCGATACCCGATTTCTTTTAAAAATGGAAATTGCCTTTAGCTTCTGAATAATTAATTTCTTAGAAATTCTGATTCTCATTTATAGAGTATACTTAAGTACCTACCTACTTACTTCATCATAAGTTTATTGTTTTCATAAAAATATATTTTATCGTCTGATCATTTTACCAGAAAAAACTCTTGGTATTGTTTTTCCAATTCCCATTCCAAACAAACAAAAAATAAGAAAATTTTATAGCAAAATATTTTTGAGACTCTTCTTTCAAAGAACTTGAAGACAAAGTACCCCTAAACATCGATTACGTAACACAATCGAGATCAATTGACAACAAACAACCCCAAACTTAGTGTGCCACAGTTAACCCTCAACCCTTAGATGGGTATCAGGATATCAGCCTCGAGGCAACATGCGTTCTGTGGGCGTTTGGTGTAATTGACTTCGGTCATTGCCGGAGGCGTTGGACGGTTAGAACAGTGATTTACGACCATGTGGTGTTGGCACCGCGTGACGCCCACACAGACCCATGTTGCTGTCAAAGCTTGTATATTATCTATGGTCACACCAAATTATATCACAAGGCGGGAACGTGATTAACTCGATTTATTCTTAATGTAGTTTTCATTGGATAGTGTGGAAGCTTGAAGGGTTGTGAATTTTGAATGTTTGAGAGAAAGGGTGTGTGTGAATTATTCATCATGTTGTGTTATTGATTGTTTGGTGTTTCTTTTGGAGGCAACGTTTTGATAATATTAAAACACTTATTGATGGACCTAAGTACCTACGTAGGTAAAGATTATTGGTTGTTGTTCTGTTACAAGACCACCACAACTAGAGATTAGTTCTAGGCTCGCTATAAACCAACCAAAAATACCAAAATCATTATTATTTTTTAATCTGGCAACATTTCTCGATCACGGCGCCTGTAAACTTCGAATGAACACAATACCATTTTATGCTTAGCAGGTACTACACCAGTTACTGATATTAAAGTACATTATAATATGTTAAAAGAGATAACTGACCTGTGTCGGCGTGAGATGTATGAGTGAGGCAAGGTGTTCCCTCTCCGGCGCTGACAGATACTTCTGTTGCTTGAACCGCCTCTCCAACTCGTATACCTGTACAAAATAAGTAGTTTAATAAAAAAATCATTAAAACAACATGGCCTTACAAGGTGGCAAATATGAATTAAAACTAAACTAGTCGCTAGTAAGATGTGAGTCCCATTAAACTGTATACTCTGTATTATTTACTACCCTCTGCCCGCGACCTTCGTACGCGCAATCCCGTTTTCTCCCGTTCCCGTAGGATTTCAGGTTTTTTTCTGTCATAAGAACCTTCTCCTGACAATAACAAACACAACAAAAAAAATCAGCCAAATCGGTCTAGCCGTTCTCAAATATGGCGTGACATCGAGAAACGGGTTTCATTTTTATATATATAGATTTTATGTTTATAAATTAGGTAGTCGTTATATCGATAACGACTACCTAATTTATAAAATCAAATACAGGACATAATGCAAGTTTAAAGTATCGGTACAGAAATAGCATTACGTATATCAGTGGTTGTTCATCAGTGATGGCAGTTTGTCCTTAAGGTCTTCTTTTTTCATCGCTTTAACTGGATTTTTGCGTTACGTTGTTCTCGCACAATCGAACCAATAAAACTATGTAACTAGACAATTATATTGTAAACCTGCTTGAAAAAGTAACCTATGGAGTTTCTTGATCGTTCTTCTCTCTAAGAATGTACACCTTGGAATGAGTAAATAGCTTCAGGATTAGATTTTTTCGCCTTCCTGGACTAATTGAATTAAATTATTTTGACTTTGACTTTGGTTCTTTTGACTTTGGCAGAAGACAAAATTATATTGGCCGTACATTAATTATTAACTTAATAACTGAATAAGCTACTATCCTAAACCATTTCCTAGAACAATAAACTGAAATTCATCCATCAAACGATCAAACACACACACACACGCACACACACGAACCGCACCGTACTCAAAGCTACAGTTACACACAGGGCTACATTGGAATCAAACTGCAACTGGAAAATTCCGTGGAAATAGAATTAATTACACGGTTGATAGGTGGCGTGGGGCGCAGGGCGGGGCTCCGCTCGTGGGCGGGGGCCCGCCCTTCGGGGCTCGAGCTAACGCAATTTTGCTTTTAGACTTTAGTTAGCTTTTGAATGCCGAGTTGCCTGTTTGATTTAACAAGATTTGTAATGTCGAAATTGATACATTTTGGTTGTTTGACGTTAATTTAGGTTATTGTAAGGGAATACAGAGGAATGTTTTGAATTAGCGATATATTTTGTTAGTATTAAAACTAATATAAACATTTAGGTACACCTTTATACTAAGTAGTCCCATAGGCGACAACCGAAATCGAAGTTTAGAGTTTGATAGTCGAACTGGGGACATGTAGTTATAAACATTTTCTCAGTTTTCAATCAACGTTTCTAATATTACAAACTCGTATTCCATGACAATTGACTCGAGACAGTGGTTCGGTCACCATGGCACCACCCTGGCATCAAACCGGTCATACTTCACGCAGTCGCGCTACATTTCACCCCAGTAAGGCCGGCCATTCACGATGCGTGCGTAAAGATTTTCATTTCTGTCGCTCTTGCGTTAAACCAGTTTATAAATACATCATGGTCTAGGTAATAAAAACCTCAAACACAGGGATGGTGACGAGGTATGAAAATTAAATATCTATTTAGTCCGTCAGTTAGGTAATGAAAAAATATAAGATACGTATTTTTTTATTTTGTTATAGGTATAGGAAAACAATACTTAGATAAAACGAATGAAAGTTAGTAAGGAGCTAAAACTTCATTTCTACGTATAAAATGTACATAGAAGTGACGTCATGACATTTCAAATCAATATATCGTCGAAAGTATTCGTTTCTGTAAGAAAATAAAAAATAAGTGTGTTATGTTTTAAAATAATCTATCAGACGGACATTAAAATAAAAATTAGTCGGCTACCCAATAGGGTAGATGACTAATTTAAAAAAAAAATTTAGGTGCTCAATGTAGGAACGAGTTGAGCACCTAAGATTTTATATTTTTTTTTATTAAACTTTACCTACCTATCTAAAAGAAACAATAACGGATGCAGTTTTCTAACGCCTATAAAATTCCACATTTTTAAGTACAACAATTCATTTCAATCGCAGAATCAATATTTTACTTTATATCGCGAATCAAGGTATTTATTTGTAAAATGATCGGCAACTAATGTACCCCGGTGAGGGTTACTGCTTTAAATATATCAGACTTAAGTATAGGCTTTGCAGAGCAACTTAGAGCAATAGTTACTTATTTTTAAATAAAACGGTAGTTATAAGATTTATCCATCCTATTCCTATTTTCGTGTTAGTAAGTGAATTGTTTTATTGACTTATCACTATACGTAGTTATTCTTACTAAACATATCACCGAAAAATCGCTTGAACTTAGAAATGTGCACATATATGTGACTATGCTAGCTACACTAGGTTACCACAATAAACGCCATTGGTTCAACGGTGACCAACGATAGCGTTGGATTTACCTTCAACTGTTTTCTATTGGCAGTAAAAACCTTAAGGTAACAGTTTGTTGCAGTTTCGAAATATAAATATAATAGATAAAACATTCGCATCAACCGCTTCATTTCTCTGCACTTCCCTGTGGTTGACTGTAAGAGAACGCCTTAAGGCATTAAGTCCGCCATTCACTTCTATGTTTTGTGAAGAAGAAATAAATAAAAATTAAATAAAGTTCTCACTCACCTGTGCCTGTGTGAACAATACCCTCCTCTTCCTCCTCTGGGCAAGAGGGAACTGCATGGGCTTGGAGTCAGGTCCCGCACACGCGGCTAGCCCTCCCATGTTGTTGACGTGGCCCATCCCGCCAGACGTGGACGTCATTAGCCTGGAAACTAAAGCAGCCGCTCAGATACGCACACTTGCATCTAATAAACTTAATGGTTAAAGACGTATTAAGAGATTTAAGAATAGTTTAAATAACACTATCACTTCTTCTTTGTTATTTTATAAAATCTAATTTCTTATCAAGTCACGAATCATCTAGACTTAGATACTCACGTCCCTTCACTTCATGGTCTGTCGGTCTAAATCAAAATGTCTACGTATTATAATCATTCGTCTTGTATTATAATCTAAATCAACAAACCTAAAATAGAGAACTTTTTATCCTAACCGCATTTAATAAATCAACCAAAGATTTAATTAATACTAAAGTTTGCCAAAGACAAACGCTTTTAGTTCTAAAATCGGTCTCCATTAAGAAGAGCGGTTAAAGCTCAATCCTCAGTTAGCTAAGCTTTTGAATTTGAGACTCGAATTCGTTCTTGTTAATTACTCGTCAATTTCATTAGGGATTAATTTTTTCTATTCGTAAAAACTCGTAATTGCCTTTATACCTATAACGCACAGAAGTATATGTCCTCACGATTCTATGTTAATTTCGTAATTTAATATGTTTCGCATTACTTTCAAACTGCACTGCTTTAATAACATTTTATCCTTTTAAATTATAAAAGAGAAGTACCGAGAAAATAAAAATTAATACTTTGTCGCTGTAGAAATTATACTCTTAGGGCTGGTAACATTTAAGCTGGCGCCCGCCATTTTCCTAATGACACTAGATGCGGTTTCCCGCGTTAGTAGCTGTGCCAACGTATTTTTACCCGACTGCCAAAGAAGGAGGGTAATGTTTTTCGAGTGTATGTAAGTATGTATGTATGTCTTTTCCTTTGTGACCACCTGTAGCCTAAACGGCTTGATGGATTTTGATGTATGAGGTATCGTTAGATTTGTCTTGATTACGGGAGTGTCATAGGATACATTTTATCCTAAAAGTCCCACGGGATAAAGACATAATAATATTTTTTCTAAATTTCCCTTTAAAAAAATATGTATGCGGTATCATTAGATTCATTTCAATCACGGGAGTAATTAATATAGGATACGTTTTTTCTCAAAATTCCCACGGGAACATGTTAATTCTGCGTCAACGCAAAGCAACTCATGCGTTAGCAAGCAAAAAGATAGGGCGTGGCCTGGCATGCGGCGCGCGGCGCGGTGCGGAGGGGGATATGCTCGAGTATACAGCCCGATTGCGGGCACACGCATGAGGGCACACGTCGTTGACGGTCGTCTCTAAATAGCGATTTTATTCGATATATCCCTATTTGTATATATCGAAATAAAAACAGCTAAAAAGTTATAAATAAAAAAATTATTATTAAAAAAACAAAATACCCGACTGCACACTAAAAAAAGAGTAAAACAAGCCCCACAATAATATTGATCAATCAAATGCTAAAAACTAATTATGTAATACCGTTTAAACAATACCTATATTAAAATACACTACAATATGTGTTCGTAATCGATAGTTAAATAAACAGAAACTTATTTTGAATACAAATTTACTGAATATAATTTATAAATGTTGATGGAAAGCATCGCAGGCGGGGACCACCTTGACCGCCACCAACGAAAATTCTGCTAAATGGTGCACAACCGAAATGACTATAAATAAGCCTCTGTTGGTCCCCGCCTGCGATGCATTCCATCAACATTTATAAATTATATTCAGTAAATTTGTATTCAAAATAAGTTTCTGTTTATTTAACTATCGATTACGAACACATATTGTAGTGTATTTTAATATAGGTATTGTTTAAACAGTATTACATAATTAGTTTTTAGCATTTGATTGATCATTAGTCACTTTGAGAACATATAATTACGTTTAAATGCGTACATCGTTTATTGCACGCTTTTTTAAATTCGCCGTCCAGGGTGGAACACCTCTATTTATACTAGTTGCGTGTCGTACGGAGGTACGACCTACCTACAGTTTTATATCAGTAGATAGTAATGTATACAGTCTACCTAATAAGGAGCAAAAATGGACCTTCATCTGAAACGAATTTTATAAGACGATCTTTACCAATTTATATTACCTTCGTATTACTTTATGGGCCTACTTTACGCTCTTTACGTTAATAATAGAGTCACATTTTTTTTAATGGGGAAAAATCATCGATGCGTCTATGACTGCTCCCGCCTGAGTGAAGCGGGAGGGAGTGTCAGACTCTTACTGACTAAAAAACCACCCCGTTCCTTCTCATGCACTTCGAGCCGGAGCCCTGGTAACCTGTTAGGTTCTCCGCGACTATAATAGAGTCACTACGACAAAAACATTAAGGAACTGTCCACAAATGTACGAATATTAAAGTTAAAACCAACCTAAAACTCCTTCTATAACATAAGATAAAACAGAATTGCGCACAGAGCAGGCAAACGCACACGCTATACCTAGTATGAAAATAATTGGAACGCTTCCATCAACAAAAGAACGATAGACTACGCTTGCAAAGGTCGGCACATCAGCATTTTCGGCAGCAATATCCCGCACATTACACACGTCGAATCCGCCGCGTATTTACACAACACTCCAACGAAAAGGGTCTTTCAATAAAATATAACTCCCCATTCTGTCTTACTCTATTGTGCGTGTGTGGCTGTACTCGGTATTGTGTGGTATCTTCGCTTCATCGATGGCATTGGTGCAAGCTGTACTGTTTGCGGGTTCCGTTTGGAATTTTATTATACGAGAAATGATGTTAAATAATGTGCCTACGTGCAAAATTACTCTAAAACGACGCGCACGTTCCAGGAATAAATGTTAAAACGGCAGAGTATGGTCTCTTGATTTGTTCTCTAATCCACGTTCAAATTAGTATTGTGTATCTGCGTAGCTATGTATAAAGAAAAAGTCTACATTCATTTGTCTACTCATTAATAGAGTTAGGTACAAGAATTTTTGTATGATTAGGTTTTATCTTGTGTCATCAAAATAATAATTTATTCTTTAGCGACTTGCCGATACTTGCTCATTCGTTTCCTCCTTGCGGTACCCCAACAAGCTGGCAGTACTCGTTTCAAACCTCCTTTGTGTAGTCAATACACACCGGACATTTTGATATCTGAGGATCTCGTTTAATTGAAACGTTGCGCTATTTCCACAGCGCCTCAATGGCTGCGTTTCGTTTTTAGATTCCAATTGAATTGTTAAATGACACGTGAGGGGATGTTTACAAACATTTTCAATAGCTTTCGAAGATAGTTCCACGAGATTTTTATTAGGAATTTAATTTGATGTGATGCATAAGAACTTTTGTTGCTTTTATTAAGGGAGTTTTACAGTTTCTATACATGGGTAGTAATTAAACTGTCAAATACCAAGCGGTCACCGGTGACCGCAACCTATTGTTCTATAATTGTGTCTACAAAACCGGTACTCGACGAGTTAATTAATTTTGAAACCCATATTTGGCAAAAACGCTACGTAATTCTAAACTACCCTTAGTTTTGACAATGCTCCACGCAAGTGTGAAACAGCCTTATAATTTCTTAAAAATACATCTTCACTCGTAATTTCTGGTGATATCGTATGTGACAGGGGTCGGACAGAGATGTGCATATATTTTGACAACAAATACGTCGGTAATTGAACCGGGGGCTGGCCACGACGAGGGACGCTGGGGCGTCAGAATGTGTCATCGTAAACGGCACTATTTTCATGGTCGAATGGCAGCAGTGTTGCTATAAAATTATGTTTATATAGAGGTACTGTTCTGGTAGAAATTTGGATACGGTGTTTTAAAGTCTACAATAAGTAGATACCAATAGGCCGTATAACGTAAAATAATAAAATAATTGCCACTGAGTAGTTTGAATTTGATCTACTAACATACTGAAATAATATCTGATTCCAACAAAAATACTGCCACCTACCTAATAATTCCCTAATTATCACGCCACCCGTACCATACGAAAAGTCTGAAGAAAAATAAATAGTTGCACGGGACGAACACTTGGCTTGCCGCGTGCATTTGATGACACGATTGGCGTAAAATTGGCCCGGACTTGCCGAGGGGGACCTCGAGGGGCAAGGTGGCCTGCGACTGACGGCCGCTGACCACAACTAATTACCAAGCAGACAATACTAGTTGAAAATTCAGCAAGTTTTAATGACCATCCGCTCTATGTGAAGTTATTATTGCTTTTCCTGCATAATTTTAGGCGTGATTGGAGTTCGTCCCTGTTATTATTATATTCTGACCGTTGGGGCTGTTTGTCAGAGTTGGTCGTCGTAATGCTGAAGTTTCACTTCAGAAATGTCTATTTGATTTTGGATTCTTGATTAAATTAGTATTTGTTACTCGATCAAGTATAACATCATTCATAATGGCAATTTCAACAAGGAATGTATTTTGAGATTGCCTTTAATTTTGTATATTCATGCCAGCGGCACCCAAATAGGCCTACAGCATAAACCATATCACCTTATGAACACCGTAATATTCATATCATAGATACATTATCCCTAGAAAGGCCTACATAAGTATGGATATCTAAGTATAGTCTTTGAAAGCATAGACAGAATAAAAAGAAAATAAATTTATTACGTATCTGTGTGCATGCTAATTAACTAACACGGCCGATTTTACCAACGTCAGATAAATATTAACTGAGGAATAACTTTGACAGTTTTTAGTATGGAAGAATTTAATAAATTAATGTCAATTTTATTCTATAGTTACGAATTAACTGATGATTGAAAAATACTTATTGTAAAAGAATAACTCTACAAGAGTAATTAAATTAGCTATATTTCTTTCAAATATATCTCTGAGTATCCGGTTGAGTTCACAACGGTAGCGTAAATTACATAAAACTAAGTTTACGTAGCTACTAGCCGTGTCAAATTGACCTTTTCATCTTGAATACATTAGGTAACACCTTCATGTTAGTACATATGACATTTTTATTTGTTTGTTCTCTATGTTTGTCTTCAAACCACCTTCGGTTTGAGTATATAGTAAGTAGGTGTGATGTAACC